AGATGGAAGGAGCCAGAATGGTAGTTGGCATCACTGAATTTAGGGCTTTAGAAATAAAAGGGAGTAGACAAGGAAGAGAGAAATGCTTTTTAAAAATACTACCTAAATGGAAACTATCTTCATCAACACCTACCCAAGAAAAGTATGCAAATTTCCCTGAGTTTAGTTAAAAGTATCATTTCGCAGTCATTTAGTGAGTGTCCACCCTTCGTGCCTCTGTTTCTTCAAACTTACAATTTATTGAAACATTCATGTGTGGTCTCTTACGCGATTTCAAATTGGCGTCTTTTCCTGACCTCAGATTCTTGAGTAGCAGGAAAGAGAGGGTGCCTGAAATCAGGGTCTGTGGGGCTCCCACAGATAAGGAAAAAACCTTTTGGGACATAGGACTGCATCAGAAAATCCACAGAGCTAGGCAAACAGAAAAAAAACACCAAGTTAGAAGAAGGGATATGCCAACCTCTCGACTAGAGAGGAAAAAGAAAATAGGCTCAGAGAAGAAAGCCACAGAAATGCCCATTTGTGCTTTTCTAGTTCCTTTAGATTTTGTTTCTCACACATTCATCATGTTTGAGCCAAACCCACTGGGTCCAGTGGTGCAGTTCTGGGTGAGCATCTGGGTGAGCTTCACAGGACAGAGATTCTTCCAGTCCTAAGTTGCCTGATGTCTCCATTTCTAAGACCGCCCCTCTCTCACTTTTCAGGCTATAACCCCCCGCCAAAATTTTTCTTTCTTTTCCTCTCTCTTCATATTATGATAGTAAGATTTTTTTCATCAGGGAAGTTATCAAATATGCACTTAGGTGGCAGAAAATGTTTCTGCAGTATGAATTTAGAGATTTGTTTATCCAGCACATATTTCTGTCCTGTCTCTAAAAGATTGTTGCAAGGGTGTGTGTGTGTGTGTGTGTGTGTGTGTGTGTGTGTGTGTGTATGGGACAGAAAGAACCCTAGCCTGCTCTACTGCTTACCTCAGCAGCAGACCAAGAGATCATTGACGACTGTAAGTTTATTTAAGGAAAAGAAATATAATTATGTTCTGCCCTTCAGAATATACAAAACAAGATTCATCCTAGCTAAAATTGTGTCATAATCTTGAATGCGTTTTTTAAAGCCACTCCCCTACCTCCCTGGAGATACCAGCATGTTCCAATGAGTGGAAATACCCCCCAGGCTTAGTTTTTAAAAGAGATGATAGTTAAAGAGTCTTAGAAAGTCATATGAAGTTCTACCTTAAAGATTTTGGCTTACTACTTCATTCTCATTAAAAACAGTACACAATAAGTAGGTGTTGGGGAATTCTGAGAGGCCCCGGGATATATGCTAGACACATCAGACACCTCTAATAGGTTTAAACACCTTTTTATTTGAGACAGAGTCTCACTGAGGCACCCAGGCTAGAGTGCTGTGGTGTGATCTCAGCTCACTGCAACCTCTGCCCCCCTGGCAATTCTCCACCTGCCCTGCGGCAATTCTTCTGACTCAGCCTCCTGAGTAGCTAGAACTCCAGGCACCTGCCACCACCCTGAGCTAATTTTTTATTTTTTAGTCGAGACAGTTTTCGCCGTGTTGGCTAGGGTGGTCTCAAATTCCTGACCTCAGTGATCCACCTGCCTCAGCCTCCCTAAGTGGTGGGATTACAGACGCGAGCCACTGTGGCCAGCCATAAACCTCTTCATTTTAATTTTATTGCATAGAGTACTAAGTTTCTAGCCTCAGTCACTGCTAAGGAAGATAAAGGAGGACACTCCCAGATTCTTCCTACGCAAAATGTTCTTCACCCTGGAGGTGTTATGAGAGCAGGTCAACAATTCAGCAGCAAGTATCTCAGAACTACTGGGCTTTTCTAGGTACCCTGCTCCCTCCCTCCCTTGTCCTTTGTTCTCCAAGGTCTTTCCATCCCTACCAACTGATCTTGGAGCCCTGGGGCATTTTTTAGTTCTGCCAAAGCACACAGCCTTTGAAACACCTGCATGATCCCCGTAACTGGCAAGCCACAACCTCCTCTCTCCAATGACCTCCTTCTGAAAGTTTTCAGAGGAGAGAGGATTGAGCAGAGAGGGACAGATGATCACAGATGTCCTGAAATTGCCAAAGGGAATAGACTTGTTATGAAATGCTGTGAGCCAGACACAAAGGAAAAAAACCAGGACAGCTCGTTTGGGCAGAGGGCAAAGAAAAGGCTTTCATCCTACTCAGGAGCTGAGCCCTGCAGGAACGCCACTGCCTCAAGTCACAGTAGAGAGGTTCAGGCACAGCGTGGGTGGGTACTCATGAGAGAGGACAGGGGGTTGTCTGAGAAAGGAGGATAGGAATAGTGTGTACCCAAGTCCCTTCCACCAGAGAACAGAACAGAAAACACACACTCTCTTGCATAAAAATATAGGAATTTTCATGAAACATATCAGATGTACCAGTTCACTGTTACTGCCTAGTGGTATATCTTTAAATTCATTTTAATTAAAAAGTGGGTCAAGTTAAGCAAACTGAGGAATAGAGGTGATACAAACAGTTACAATACAAAGATTAAGGTTCTTAGACCTACAGAGTCACTCATATTTCAAAGTGAAGCTCTAGATTTTTTTTTTTTCCAAGACAGTCTCTGTCACCCAGGCTGGAGTGCAGTGGCATGATCTCAGCTCACTGCAACCTCTGTCTCTGGGGTTCCATTGACTCCCCAGTCTCAGACACCTGAGTAACTGCAATTACAGGCACCTGCCACCATGCCTGGCTGATTTTTGTATTTAGTAGAGACAGGGTCTGCCATTTTGCCAAGGGCGGGTCTCAAACTCATGACCTTAAGCAATCCACCTGCCTTAGCTTCACCGCAAAGTGCTAGGATTTACAGGCATCAACAACCATGCGGGACCCCCGAAGCTCTAGGTTTTATAAAGCCACAAGTTGACCAAGGAGTAGAAAACAAGCATTGTTTAACTGAACTGAACCAAGACTTTTGTTGGGTGACCTTCTCAGGGAGAGATCACAGAATATGGCATTTGATCTAAAGATAACTATTAATATTACAAATGTGAAGAGTGACAAAGAAATAATGAACTGTTAAAAAGAATGGACAAATGCACAGAAACTGGAAGAGGATAGTGGGGTGTCTGACAATAGCAAAAGCAGAAAAGAGGGCTGTACAGTATAAATGTTAATCATGTTCTTTTTTATTAAGAACATCCCAAGTGTCCCAGTATTAGAAGCATCCATGAGGGCTGCCTAGTAAATATGTCTTGGGATTCCCGAGCATTTTGCCACCATTCCTGAATTCTGTATAACAAGGTTCTGGTTACCACCGTGGCTAAATACAGTTATTTCTGAATTCATGTCACTCTACACCCATATGTTTTAAAACAGAGGTATCCCCATTTCACCGACGTTTGAGCTCACGAATGAGAAGTGTCCACAGCTTCAGGAAAATGTAAAGCCCTTGAAACAAGGAATCTTATTACCTCCATTTTTTCTCTCATTCCAGATGAGAATTTTTATTTTTTAACTTTTTTATTTTTGAGACAGAGCCTCCCTATATCACCCAGGGTGGAATGCAGTGGCGCGATCTCGGCTCACTGCAACCTCTGCCTCCCAGGTTTAAGCGATTCTCCTGCCTCAGTCTCCAAAAACAGCCAAGACTACAGGCATGCACCCCCACACCTATCCGATTTTTGGACTCTTAGTAGAGATGGGGTTTCACCATGTCGGCCAGGCTAGTCTCAAACTCCTGACCTCAAGTGATCCACATGCCGTGGCCTCCCAAAATGCTAGGATTCCAAGTGACAGCCACCGTGCATGACCCAGAAGAGAAAACTTTTCTTTTCCCCCAACAAAAGAGAAAATAACTTGTCTAGAAATCTTCACCGACACTGGGGCTTGAGCCCGCGTGATCTGACTACCGAGTCCAGTGCTTCAACCCTGAGCCTACAAACGAAAGTCATTGCTCTAGTGGAGCAAAATTTGAAAAATACAGTGAAAGACGGGAGAGAAGTGAAAGAATAATGGAGCACAATTGGGTGGGCAGGTTACTGAGAATAATATTTGTACTGGAAACATTGAAGTAGGCAGTGAACTAGAAGATAAAGGGATGGTGGAGGGGAGAGGAAAAAGAATGTTACCATGCATAGCTCTATAAGCTTAGACTCTTAAAGAAAGAAATTTGAACTGAAAAGGAAAGGCAGACTGTTTAAGAATAAATATGCATACACCCCCTTTATAGGGCACATCCCTCAGTCTCTTCAAGTGTTCATCCACCTCAGTGTCTACCCTGGAACTGGAGAATTTTACTTCCAACTCTGACCACTCACATGAAAAAAGATGAGTCTTGCCCATGAATGACTGTTACCTCTAAAAAACCACAACTTAGTCCGTTCAAGGATTCTACAGAGACCTTCCTTGCCAGTACTAGATTTGTATGAAATGAAAGCATTTTGATGATATGTGTATTAACCCAGTTTACACACACACACACACACACACACACACACACACACACACACTCATATACCCAGTTTCTCTAGTTGGAAAGTATTAAAAGCAGTTATTGTAGCTTCAAGTGTAATTCATGAATTCATAATTTCCACTTTTGCTCTATTATTGGTTGAAATAATTAGGCATTGGTGTTAAATGCTTAGATATTCCAGAAAATGCCAATCCTGAGATAAAGAGATAAATTTGAAATAGGTAATTTGGACTGTTGGAATATGCTTTGCGAGGTACAAAGCCATGAAATTATCTTTTTCTTCTTTAGCCATCAACACAAGTTACAGCACAAAGTGGCTGGATCCCCATCTCCACCTTCTTTGATACTCTCCATTGCAGAGATTTGCAATTAACAATGTTTGTCAATGTGCAGTGCCCCTTTCAGCTTGGTGGGTCAGTCCCAAGTCTTGGTGAAATCAGAGAAGCAAACTTGTAAATGAATTGCTCTGGAATTTGTCTGACTTATGCATTCTCTTTTATTTATTTCATTTTTGCATTGAAAACATTACATTTCTGTTTCCTTATAGAGTAGTGTATCAAGAGCCTGTGTATGGCAATAAATTGCTGCAGGTATGAAATCCCGACTGGTGGAGAAACTCATCACTATGATTTGTGGGTTTGCTGTGAAATCCTTACTAACAAGATAATTCTGGGGAGGGGAATCATTCTCTAACATAGGAGGAAAGACTTAACTGAATTTTCCAGTTTTAATATGAAATCTCCTAGAATAGAAGTGGCTATCCCCATATCTTTTGATATATCCACTGACCGTGTTGTGGCAGTTTCTTCCAAATATGGGTGCTGTTTTATGATGGATAGTAGTTGGCCTTGGCACTGAACTTCGTTAGATCCTGAGTGTCAAAATGGTGGCCTAGCATGGCTGTTAATTTTTAAGGTATCTGGACTCAGTCAATATAAATCCAATGAAAAGAATTCAAGGTTCTGATTGAACCAGTTGTCTGGGTAATGTTTTAGTAGGTTCCCAGAGTGAACTGGAATGGTGAAATCCAAAATCTCACATATCCAGCATTAAGAGTCAGCAGACCTGATGTCTAACATAACCCTCCCTGGTCTTTTTAGAGCTGATCTGAAATTTCATACCTATTGCTGTAGATTTTAAACCTATTTCTCACTGCTGAAGCAACCACCAACTAAACATGTTTGTAGGAAGGGGAAAAAAAAAACATTCTTTGGAATGTGGCTGGTTGAGAGTCTCCAAATTTCGTCCATTAAGGACATTGAAACTGTCCAATAAAATAAGAGATGAATGTGAAACTGAGGATGATCAGTGGGAGTTTCAGGATATTAGTTTCTCTATCACTGCAATTCCTTTTTTTCTTCAGTATTAAGAGTGAATTAAGAAAGTACTTTTAAACCGTGAGAATTTATTGAGTTGTAACTGAAACCTGAATGTGAGAAATCGGTACTTTTAACCTAGTAAAGGGCAATATAGTTAAAATTCCTGAGATAAACTTTCATTGTCACATTTCAAGAGAACTGGACCTCTGACTGTCACCCTTCAAAAATAGATAAACCTGGCTGGGCATGGTGGCACACACTTGTAATCCCAGCACTTTGGGAGACCAAGGCAGGCAGATTGCTTGAGACCAGGGGTTCAAAGACCAGCCTGGCCTACATGGCGAAACCCCATCTCTACTAAAAATACAAAAATTAGCCCGGTGTGGTGGCACATGCCTGTAGTCCCAGCCACTTGGGAGGCTGAGGCAGGAGAATTGGCTGAACCTGGGAGGCACAGGTTGCAGTGAGCTGAGACTGCACCACTGCACTCCAGCCTGGATGACGGGGGAAGACAGTCCAAAAAAAAACCGACTATATAATGCAGATAAATTAGGGACTCATTAAGATTTTCATTTTACAAATGTTCTTTGAGTACTATAATGAGTAAGATTTAAGTTGTATGTATACCAACATACCTGTTTTGCACAAAGCAAGAGTTGACCCTTGGATATTTTTCTATTTTTTTATAGTAATATAACCAGGGAGCCTCTACCCCTGGTTAAGCTGATGACGACTTTCCCATGCACGCAAGCTGAAGGGAGCACACATAGCACATATATATTACAGTCCTACAGATGCCCACATCCCCACTAGTACAAAGAGGTTTCCCCTCCCCTCATTCCTCTGTGGCCACTAAAACATCTGTTTTCAAAAGTATGCTCTAAAGTGAAACTTTGATTTTAGCCTCAAATTCTCCAAGATGCCTTGGAGGTCCACAATGTTCATGAATATTGTCCCAAGGAGTTCCACGGACAGTTTTACTGTAACTGAGCATCCAACCAAACTGGTTTGGTTGTGGCAACTTTCCTTTCCTTGCTGGTAATGCCCCACAAGCACAATTTTGAAAATGTTTTATTAGCTGGGCACAGTGGCTTTCACCTGTAATCCCAGCACTTTGGGAGGTTGAATTGGGAAGATCGCTTGATCTCAGGAGTTTGAGACCAGCCTAGGCCACATAGTGAGACCCCATCTCTAGTAGTAATAAAAAAAGAAACAGTAAAGACCATCATTTGAGGTCCGGAATGGGTGACAATCTCAAGAGACCTCTAGAGGTTTTGCCAGCCAAGGAAACTTCTCAGTCCACATGAGTGGGTCACTTTGGTGGCCTCATTTGGTGATGGTGGTGGCAAAAAGACCCAAAATGGCCATTTGAAAATCTTACATAAGGTCACGTTTATATTTTGCTGCCCATGATGTGGAAAAATTATGTTTCATGAATGAGGAGTATAGAACTATTTTGTGCCTGTCATCGCTTGTTCCTTTGGTTTGGTGCTGTGAAAATTCTAATTATCAATGACACATTATTATCACGATCTCGGAAGACCAGGTTCGACATGAACATGATCTGGTGACAGCAACTGAAAGTGAGTGTTCCTTTTACAGACATTGCCATGGAACCTCGGAGTAGGTCTGGCTATGCTCAGTGAGCTGCCAAATACAGAGCAGTAGGATTGATGAGAGTCACCTGTTAGAAAGGCAAATTACAGCAATTTGTATGTTTTGTATATAAAGCAATTTGTATTTTACAGTGTATGCACACATACTGAGTTAATACGCAACTCTGTTACTTCTCTAGTATGAAATGCATACAGAAGAAAAACAGCGAAGGAAGACTACACAATAGAGATGGAGAGATAAAACCACCTAATCCCACTTTCCCTAATTATTACGTATTTCAGGGATCATTCAGACTGGTACTGTCCAGTCCTTTCGCCACCAGCCCCCATGTGGCTGTTTAGATTTAAATTCAAATTAACTGAAAAGTAAATTTAAAATGTAATTCATTGCATTAGTTACCTTTCAGGAGCTCAATAGTCATTTACTAGAAGTAGCTACGATGTCGGACAGCACAGATACGTAACATTTCTCTCATCTCAAGTGTTCCACTGGACAGTGAGACCACTGATCAAGGTCGAAACGTTTTTTTCTCCACTGGCTCTGGAGACTTCACATTGTGATGACCCTTGAATCAGGAATACTCACAAGCAAATTCCTAGGTTATAAAGACAGATGTCAAGGCATTGATGACCTAGGCCTGTCTCGTAAGAGAAACACACGTACCACACATACACTCTCTCCACTCAGAGCTTTAAGTCTGTTGCAGCTCATGTCTCCTAGAAATCAGCTAGCCGATTCTAGCTCCCCCATACCTCACTGTCACGTGCACCCGCACACCTATATCTTTCTGTACACATCATGAAAGTCAAGAAGATGAACAAGTCATATAGAAAAATGGCTACAGAAACCTGGTAACCTGATTTCTCTTCCGTCTCTCATTCTATTTGTTGGACTCAGTGATGTTTTAACAACTGCTTTGGTTTTATAACTCCCTGAGCACATTTAACGTGTTCCCCATTCCTACTTCGAGAACATAGTATTTGGAACACCAGGTGGCATCTGGCTAAGACCTTTTTTTCTGGTTACCTTCCATTATCTTTTAAAGGGAAGCTCTAAAACTAAAAACCTGGCTCTACATGATTGGTGATTACCTGTCAGTTTTGGATGTGTCTTCTCCAGGACTGACCCAAAGAATAAATTGCGAAAGCTAAACTCATTTCTTTGAATTGCTATGCAAGTGGTAACATGTTTACCCTGAAAGTTAACCGTGGCTGGAAGGAGGCAGAAAGAAATGGAGACCAGGTTACCTATATCTTGTAAGAGGCTTTTTGTAGCTTCCCTGTTTCATCTATTTCTCATTGTACTACTTAGTTTCATGAGGCCACATGCAACAAACCTACTTTTCCCTCTCATGATTCTGCTGTTGCATACCTCTGACACACTGCTTTATCCCGAGTCACCCCTTTATGGTGATGGTGAGAACCCTTACCTCAGAGAGTTATGTGACTGTGTATTCTAATTAGAACCTGGATGGTCCTGTGCTATCAGTGGACACACGGGATCCTGTTTGTTAATCGTGCCGAGATCATTGTACAGTGTTTGATGTATCAGGGTCACCCACTGAGCAGAAGCTCCGTTATTTTCACAGTTTGATAATCAACGCTCCACTGAACACAATTCCTTTTGAATATGCCTATTTGCTCATCCTCTTTGCTTAATTGAACAATGGCAATTACTGGTACATACAACTAAATGTTATTTTTCTTTTCAGATTTTTTACTCTGTTAATGGTTTTATTTACAAATTAGAAGACTTTATCCTATTTTCAACACCAAATTCTGCATCTGAAGCAGCATGATACATAGCCATGTGAGAGCTGTAGCCAAAAAGAAGAAATGTTCGGTCATTTTCGTAATAGTTGTATAACATTTAGACAGCTAAAGACTCTTCAATAACATCAGTGGTTCAACAACCAGATAAGAGATTGCTAATAAACTGTCAATCGAATGATGATGTGATTTAATAACTAGGAAAGACAGGCAAGCATTCACTTGATTATTTTATAAGGAAATAGGAATTGGGTAAAATTCAAGGTGATATCCGATAAAGGTAAAGCAGAATCATTGTTGAAAATCTGGAAAGTTCAGCCAAGTATGAAGAGTGTTTAAATAATCCCCTGTAATCCTCCCCCACCCCAGGACAATCACCGTTAACATTTCAATACATTTCCTTCCAAGGCCCTCTGGGCTCTCCTTTTGGGATATGCTTATAACCGCTAACCTTTAACATCCAGCTGGGGATGGTATTCCACCCCTTGTTTCTCCAGGGTGTGTTTGTACTTTCGCTTTGATACTAAGCTTTCATTAACCTGAACTTTAGGTCAGTAGATTTGGGTAACTGCTGTTATGGTGTGGTCTTGCCACTGGGCGTCCCTGCGTCGGGCTCCGCTGCCTTCCTGAGTCACATTTCTCTTTGCGTTTTAGGGTGGTTATGCTGCATACCGCTACGCCCAGCCTACCCCAGCCACTGCCGCTGCCTACAGTGACAGGTAAGGGTCATCCTTCTCGTGCTTGACCACTACTTGGAAATTAACTTAACTGATGGGAGAGGAGATTCTCCTGTGGTCTTGGTGAAACTGCATGACTGCTGGGGGAGGTAGCACCCCAAAAGTTAGGGTAAAGGTCACAAGGCCCCACAGAGAGAAGGCAAATGCTGAAGCCCATTCTAAACTATTCACCCTCTCTGCTCAGACAGAAAATGATAGCCTTGATCCCTGTGTAGTTTTTCACATCCCTGAATCCCTGTGAACACACCTTGCACACACACACACACACTAGCACACACTCTGTACAACCTTCTTATGTAAGACCATGGTTTCATCTAACTCACAGGAAGAAAAACAGACCATGATCCTACAGGTTACCTCCACTTCAAGCCCCTTATTTTCCTTCTTACAAGGTTTTATACCCAATAAATGACTCCGTCCATTGCATTTTAAAAATTCAAAATAAAGGAGATGGGGCAAGTGTCCCTGACATTTACACGGAGATTCATGCTTTCTGGCAATGCCCAGGGTCCGGTCCTACAAACCTAAGTCAACTTTTATTTGTAATGCGCACCTCAGGTCAAGGCAGGTAGTGGAAGGAACACAGTGTGTTTGAGAAATGGTGAGGACAGAATGGATGGGTGGGGCGTGGGGCGGGGTGAGGCAGAAATGAGGGTTTTCTATTACCCAGGCTTAACAGAGGAGTCGGTTCCTGAAACAGCCAGCTGTAGCTCTTTCAGTATGGTTGCCTTGAAAAAGGAAAGTGTGTGTTTTCATATCGAATGCAACTTCTTGGCTCTGTTTTCCGAGGACGTAAATGTGAATGTCCAGATGCTCTGCATGCACAGATGTCATTGAGAGTGCTTATTTTGGTAATGACTCCTTTCTTTTAAAGATATGTTTCATGAATAAAACAATGATAACAATTTGCATGTGTGGCTGGGGCATGCTGGGTCAGACAGGTAAGCAGGCGATGTATTTGACTCCTGAATGGGCAGTGTCAGCAGCCTCTGGTCCTCCTACCCGGCCTGTTGTGATGTAGTTCCTACCTCGGTTTGCTGTGGTGTGCTTTCCTGCAGTTCCATTCCATTTCTCACGAGATGTGTCGTTAGCTAATTGTAGCTACAGAATTCTTGCGATCTAATAAAGCAGAATACATCCCTGAACTCTAAAAGCGGCATTTTGAAAACCCCATGCATACACTTATAACAAATGGCTCTTTGGCAAGATGGAGTTGAGATTTGCTGTCTGGTTCTATGCAGGTATTATTTTCTTATAAGCAGCCGTAACAAGTTCCCGAGGCTGTAGGGAGCCTTCAGAGAAATCCAGACAATTGTCAAGACAAGGTTCTAAATAAATAATCCATTTACCCAGTTGTTATCTTCAACCCACTTTGACACTGGATTAGTAGAGAGGATCAGTAAGGCTAATAAAAATGATGACAATCTTGAACTACTCAAGATCATTCCAGAAACGAAAAGGTTCAATGTTACTAAATTCTTCACTGAAGAGTCACAAACTATCCATTGTAATGTGTGGTTCAGCTGCAACCCTCAATTATTTTTTATGAAAATATCTCTAGATGCTAAATTCTCAAACACCCACTTTGTATAATTATAATCATAGTAACTTTAGCCTGCTGTATAATTATAAAAATCTTAAAAACGGATTTCTTTGAATATGTATCTTGCTTTTCAGTATAAATGCATCTATCCCCAAGTTGAGGGAAAAAAAAAAAAGGTTAATTACAAAGATAAAATTTAAATTGCCTCCTTCACTAAGACTGATCTAGACATTAAAAAAAATAAACAGTGTTTAATACTATTAGAATTACCTGAGAATCTGGCCATCTCTACTTGCATTCACCTAAAAATTAATTTTGAGATTTCTGCATCTTGGAGTACCGTACGTGTAAACTCTGTTATTTTGATATTATTCAGATGTCTCATTGGCAGTATGTCCCACTGAAAGATTGCCCGTGTTCTTGGATTGGTGAATCTATAATAACTGCGATCCCTACTTTAGTGCTGTAGTTTGCTTAAGAAACCAACTAACTATACTGTTGTCCATTTAATTTCCCTCTTGTTCATTGGAGAAATTTGCACATTAGGGCTTTTTGGTTGCTGTGGAAATTGATAATTATTCCTATTTAACTTTATCATAAGCAAGACACTTGCCACATATGGAATTACTCATGGAAGTAAATTTAGTAATAAGTTAATAGACAAAAGACAATCTTTAAAGTTGTATTACTAATTTTTTTTAAATGTCGCTATTAAATGGTGCTACTTCCTTTTATTCTTAGTAAGAAGGTATTGAGAAGGAATACCTTTTTATAGAAGACACATTTAGGGGAAAATGTGAAATCATCAGAATAGCTTTCAATCTAAAAATGCCTGATACCTAGAATTTATCTCAGAAAAAGCAATAGTGTAACCAATGACTTTTATATCATCACTGTATAGTATCAGCAATGATAGAATTTTTTTTGTGTTTTTTTTTTTGTTTTGTTTTGTTTTTTTGAGACAGAGTTTCACTCTGGTGCCGAGGCTGGAGTGCAGTGGTGCCCTCTTGTCTCACCGCAACCTCCGCCTCCTGGGTTCAGGCAATTCTCCTGCCTCAGCCTCCTGAGTAGCTGGGACTACAGGCACGCGCCACCATGCCCAGCTGATTTTTTGTATTTTTAGTAGAGACGGGGTTTCACCATGTTGACCAGGATGGCCTCGATCTCTTGACCTCGTGATTCACCCGCCTCGGCCTCCCAAAGTGCTGGGATTACAGGTGTGAGCCACCGCACCCAGCAGTGATAGAATCTTAGTTCCTTTTCTCTAGGAGGCAGGCAGAACAACGAACACAAACTTAACACAAAGAAACTTCTTCAAAATATGAAGTAAGATCAGCAGGCACTGAGAACGTTTTGGTAATGCTCACTGGTTGTCACTTATCAAAAGAGAAACAGCAACAAACTTTCCCTGTAATCGTCAGATTCACTCTTCAGACATCTCAAAAGCAAAAGAAGTTTGATGTCCCCAGTTGGTAGGATTTTACCTTTTATCAGCACAAATTAAGCCCTCATCAAATCAAAGATTCAGGGACCTTTGAAAAATACTGAACTCCAGTAACCTCAGGACTGTCCAGAAGGTCCTTAATGGGCACCTTGTAACTCCCTGCCCATCATCTTCTTGGTTAAATGATCACATGCTGATTATCTTGGAGCAACCTGGGAGGCTCTGAATGTTGACCTCCAGAATGAAGACCATCTGGTATGGGCAGAGATTTCCCCAAAAGAAAAAGACCTGACTGGACTAGGTAATTTTCTAGTCTCATTGACAAATTTAATGGGAAGAGGTGAACCTCTTCTCTTGGCATTTAGGAAACGTCTGGTAATCACGTGACCTCACCAAATCCTTGTTTCTAATCTCACTTTGATTTATGCAAAGCCAACTGTCTGAACTCTCAAAGGAGAGCGTTTCCTGAGCTTGAACCAATTGAAGCATGGCAGAGGGGCCTTTGGTCATCTGGTCATTGCATGCCACTTGGTGTTGCTGATGTGTCTGTGATATGTTCTGGATTGGACAGGTCCATCACATCAGCTTGAATGGCTTGCTTGAATTAAGCCTGGGGGCAGGCTTCTCTTTCTTGATTGGCTCATGGTTTCTTTGTGTATTATGACTTGGTGGTCGTTGCATCTTGAAGCAGACAAACTGGGAGGTGGGGAGTGGGGAAAGATACCCTGTTTGATGAACTGTGCCACGAATATTTGGGAACATATGATGTGTACATAGCTTTGATGAAAATGTTATCTCCCCAGAAAGACAGACATTCGTCATGCTTGTCCTGCTTGCTAATGCTCTAACATTTCCTGATGATCAGTGCATGAAAACGTCCCTCCCCGTCAGGGCAGAAAGTAGCTAGATGCAGAGTAACTAGAGACGAAAGGAATACAGAGTTTATCCACTCAGATTTCATCACAATCCGATTACACTGATAGTTACCAGGGGCCATTTCTTTCACATAAAACATGCATTTCTTGTAAAGATGCATTAAAGCCAAGAAGCTTTTGATATAATTGTACCACCAGGCCACACAGGTATCTCTAAACTGAGCAAGAGACTGCAAGCAACAGATTTTTGCTGATTTTAATGTATAGCTCTTTGGTTTTTGAGACCTTCAAGTTTTACTGCTAATGTAGAGCTAGAAATTGCTACTTTTGTGTGACAAAAATGACATATTGGCTCTATTGTAGTATGTATAAAATATTTACATATCAATGTAAGTCTTATAAAACTCAATACAAATCCACATAAAATGCCATGTTATCTTGCTCTCTGCAGAAACATGTATACATACACACACTCTTCTGCCTTGGGGCCTCACAAGGGACTCATAAGTGTATTCTTCTTAATACAAAGAAATCAGGTCTTGTTAATTTCAAGTGGTCACAAACTACTAGGCTAGAAAACGTCAGTTACATGCAACATTCATAACCTATTAATGAAAGGTTCTATTTCAGAGACAGATCTGTGTTTCTTAGAACCTTGTAAGGATAAGTAGGCATATCTTTGGGTGCACAGAGGATTTGATCTTTCATTTTAAAATTATTTAAGTGACAGAGCTAGATACATATATACAAGCTCACACATACATAGATGGGTTGAAGGATGGGTCGATGGATAAAGATGTTAAGTAGATACATAGGTGGGTGAATGGAAAAAGGAAAAGCAGCAAGGAAGGGCCCATCTTTCTGTCTTCTAATATTTCATCAAAAGCTAAATACAGGCGATAGAACTAAATCTTTATGTGCAATCTTAGTTCAAGCTGAACTAAAACAGTAAAAGGATTTGACTTGATTTCCATTAGTGCACGCTACTTCCTGGCTATTTTAAAGCTTTATTTCCTGGTCTCAGATTAAGTAAAGAAACACTGTCATGAAAATAGGCAAATAGGTACATTAACAATGATGTTCTATTTTATTTGGAGTCCTTATCCGATGATACCTACTA